CGCTCTCCCCCCCCGTCTGCCCCGGCTGCTGCCAGTGCCAGCCCCGCTGTCACAGCTCACTCACCTCTTTGCCAGAGGCCCCGTACCGGCACTGGGCAGCTGCCGACCACCTAGCCTGCGCCGGCACCCCAAACCACCACAGAGCCAGCCCGGCGTGCAGCAAGTGTCCCAGCATTCCTGTGTGTGGCCAGCAGCTCTGGGGAGAGCCGGCGTCTTCCAGCGCAGCCTGGCAAGAACCTTGCCCCAAACCCCCATCGCCCTGGTGGGATGAAGGCGCTGCCTCCTCCTCCTCCTCCCGTTTCCTTGCCCGCACCGTGATGCTGGGCCAGCTCGTCACCACAGAGCCAGCCCGGCGTGCAGCAAGTGTCCCAGCATTCCTGTGTGTGGCCAGCAGCTCTGGGGAGAGCCGGCGTCTTCCAGCGCAGCCTGGCAAGAACCTTGCCCCAAACCCCCATCGCCCTGGTGGGATGAAGGCGCTGCCTCCTCCTCCTCCTCCCGTTTCCTTGCCCGCACCGTGATGCTGGGCCAGCTCGTTGGGCAGACAGGAGACAGCTCCGTCGCGCCTTGACAAGGGGCGCTGACCCTTTATGGCCACAAAAGCTCCTCTTCCACTTCCCCACGGGACGCCCAGCGAGCATGGCTCTGCCGCCGGCCTGGCCACGGCTGGCTGGGCAGCTGCCACGGCCCCAAGTGCCGCAGCCCACTGTGAGCAGGGGATCAGGGCTGAGCCGCTCCGGCGGATGGGCAGAGCCAAAGGGATTTGCTCGCCCGCAGTGTCTTGTTGTGCTGCCCTGGTCCATGTGCCCACCCAGCTAGCAGCCACCTCAGCAGTGCTGGGGAGCGATGGGTGCTCTGTGGCATTGTGGTGGTTGGTGGCACTGTTGGGGACACGGCTGTGCCAGCCCTGGCACTGCCATCGCTCTCCTGTCCCACCCGAATGGTGCTGGGGACGCAGCCACACCGTCCCCAGTCTTGTCCCCAGCTTTGTGGCCGGGTGCTGCCGGCGCCCGGAGCTCTCTGCCACCTCCTGCTCCACCACCACACTCCCCGTGGGTCTCTGACCACGGCGTCCCCACCGTGCCACCCCTGTCCCCACCGCCTGCCCTCCTGCCCCGCGGCGAGGCCCCATCCCTACCCGGG